GAACCTGCGGGTGTGTGGCTGGCGGTCGCGCGGGCCTGTGCTCGGAAGCTCTCTGTGCTTGAGGAGACCCCTAGATGTACGCCGGGGGGGAGGACGCGAGGGTCCGTTGCCTGCGGCTCGAGTGCCGGTTGGTGTCCACGACGTCGCCCCATGGAGGAGGCGCGCTCAGAGGCGGACACGAGCGCTCGTGGGGACAGCCTGTTCGGGGTCTGGGGTCGCGCGAGGTCACGGGCTGTAAGGACTCCTTTGTGCCCGGCTGAGTCTGTGTAGACTGCTCCCCTCGTCCTCCTCGCGAGCCCATCTTGAGCGGAGGTGAGGCCTCGGTGCACGACGCGGAGACGCTTCTGGCGTCTAGAGTGTTTTGCTGAGGAAGTGACGTTACCCCTGCCGGTTAGGGTAACTCACTGGGCAGTGCCAGGGATCTGCGGGGCATGTGCCGGTTACTTAATACTTGGGTTGGGGGCACAGACGTGAGACAGCCCCGGTGAACCGTGTCGTGATCTAACGAGTGTAGACTTCCCTGTGTAGGACTCTGTGCCCCAGCAGCACAGCGAAGACCCAGAAAGGAAAAGCCTGAGTAGACAAAAAAGCACCAAGTTGATGCGCCCGGGCATGTGCGCCTTGCTCTGGAAGAAACCCCAGGCCCGCAAGGACCCTAACCTTGACTTTGGACATATTTTAACAAGCTTGTTCCCTTGGCTTCCCATCCCACAGTAGCCGAGCAGCAAACTGGAAGAGGGAAGAGTGATGACAAAGGCTCGCTGACAAGATCGGAACCCAGGCGGTGGCCCAGCATGGAGTAATAGGACAGGAGTACCACGCAGAGCCCCAGGGGTTCCTGGAGGGTAAGGGGGGTTTCCTGGCGATCACACCTGTGCCCTGGGTCCTTCGCAGCAGTTACATATAGGAGGGTTGAGTAGGAAAACAGGGTTCACAGAATCAGCTAGGTTCTTTGTCAAGCTTCCCAGAATCTTTAGTACGGCCTGGACTCGCTTTTCTGGGCACCTCTCCAGAACATGCCCTCTGACACATCTCAGGGAAGTGCTGTGTGAAGTGGAACCTCAGGCTTGTGTGGAGTTTGAGTGGTGAGGCCAAGTCTCCTTTAGCACATGCTGTTTAAGGAGACTAGCAAGAGACATATTTTAATTTTTTCCATTGAAATAGTTAAACATTTTGGAATTCTAAAGTGTCTGGAAAAGTAATTTTTTTCTCTGGTTTACCTTTGTCAATGTTGGATACAGGAGATATTACCATATTTGAAATGTATCTCAGGCCATGTTGTGGTAAGGCTTCTCCTGCTTGACCTGAGTCCCTAACCCTATTTATAATATTTTTTCTATGAACTGATATATCTGAGTTACCAACAACCTACTTACAAGTGGGATTTTAGAGTATCACTCATTTGCAATTGGATTCTGTACTAAAACAAGCAGTCTGCCCACTGTTACATGTTTTAAAGTATATCCCAAAAAAGAAATTCGTGAACATTGAATTTCTTTTTTTTTGTTTGTTTTTGAGTTGGAGTCTCACTCCGTCACCCAGGATTGAGTGCAGTGGCACGCTCATGGCCACTCCAGTGTCGACCTTCTGGGCTCCAGCAATCTTTCCACTTCAGTCTTCCAAGTAGCTGGAACTGTAGGCACACATTACCACACCCGACTAATTTTTGATTTATTGTAGAGACGAGGTCTCGCCAAGTTGCTCGGGCTGCTCTCAATCCTGCAGGCCCAGGCAATCCACTCTCTTCCACCTCCCAAAGTGCTGGGATTACAGGCTGAGCCACCAAACCCAACCTGAACATTGAATTTCTAACCTGTTTATATCCACCTAGTCTTCCCTCTCTGTACATATGCAAAATGACTTTTAAGACATTGTAAGCAGTGTCCCCCACAGTCCTGTGAGCTGCTCTTCTCAGTTACTTTATATAAATATTTTTTTGATACTTACAATGTCATTCATTTATAGCTAAATACATCTCATTGTGACAGTAGACTACAGTTTGCTTTTGCCAGAGTAGCAGCAAGCTGTATCCACGTGAACAGTTCTGAGTATCTGTGGACTGTTTTTTTTATTTTTGAGCACAGACATGTTTTCTTTATGCTAATTGTCAATCCATATTTTAAATAACTGTTTCCTCCATTTCTACCTTTTGACTTTTCTACAGTTTCATGAGCTAATTCCAACTTCATATATAACTTGTATATGTTGTTCTTTCCCTTCACAATTAAAGGCCAGTACATGTACAGTGGACAGTACTGAAACTAACAGCGTGTTGCTTTTGTCATGCCTCATGATTTCCAGCTTTCGTCTGATTTGGATTATGACTTCAGTAACCCTTTCATTTTTTACATTTTATTTTAATAGAATAAGGGCACCAAATAGCAACATAATTAAACACTTGCACTAATACTCCTGTGTTAAGACAGTGGTGTTGCCAAAAAACAGTGGTTGATTGTCAAATAACACTACCCTATGACAACTAGAAATGTTCTTCAGTAAATTAAGGATTAGAGAAGAGGTGATATAGGAGTGTTTATTATTTGAAGTTGTATATAAGTTGAATGTAAGAAAGTCAAGGGCTACCTAAAAATAGTGGGGTTTTTTTTTAATAGAAGTACTTAAGGTGGGTTTTGATTTATGGTCACTTAGTGGGTGATTCTGAGTGTTCTTCACAGTGATCTAAGCTGCTTACCTCCCTCTCACTGAATTCTCCATAGATTTGCCCTTACCTCAACTTAAATCGGGTTTGCCTCCACTCATTTCTTGGAAACTGGTTAAAATTATGATGAAAAATATATTTTTCTCTCCATGACGTGTAAGACTGTGTTTATTTTCTGCAGCATTTCTCTATAATTGTTTACATTTTGATTGGATACACTGGGATCATTTTCATCATGCCCACCGTGGTGGTAATGGACGTATCCCTTTCCATGACCCGACCGGTGTCTGTCGAGGGGTCCGAGGAATACCAGCGTAAGCACCTAGCAGCCCACGGTTTGACAATGCTGTTTGAACACATGGCCACAAATTATAAGCTTGAATTTACAGCACTCGTGATTTTTTCATCTCTTTGGGAGCTGATGGTCCCCTTCACAAGGGATTATAATACCCTACAGGTACAAACAGGGAATAAGTTATTGTTGTTTAGGGCCCCAGATTTTTTGGGAGGAAAACAGTGTTACAATATTGCACCGAATTTTTAGAACTTGGAATTATATAAAAATAAGCCTATGGGTACTTAATATGTGTAGTTAAACAACAAGGATTCACAACTTATAGGTCTTATGCCTTTCTTTGTTAGAGTGTAAGGTGCTTGTTGCCTTCTCTTCTCTTGGTTTTCTGGAATTCCCTGTGGAAAGGCAAACATCTCAGAATGCAGTGCTACATTCCCCAAAGTTTAGGGTCTTTAGGTTCAACACTTTACTTTTTTCTACTTTCCCATAAAACTTAAAATGACAAACAGCCCTTTCTTACAAAAACCCTTATTCTAGAGTAATGATATTTTTTTCCAGCAAACAACTTTGACTTATAGATACCAAGAAATTATCATTTTAAAACCTCGCCTGATAGATGTTTTCTTTCAAAGGTGTTTATCTGTTATGTCAGATAATTTACTTTCTAACATCTCTAAATCATAATATTTCCAGCAGTGCCTTGCCCATAGTGAGCAGTCAAGAAGTATTTGTGGAATTAAACTGAGCAGTTTAATAATTGTTCAATGGTTTAGAAATCCAGGAACAATGCAGTTTGAATTTTTTAAGTATTAGTAATCCATTTTGTTTGTTTGTTTTTTTGTTTATAGAGACGAGGTCTTAGTATGTTGCCCAGGCTGGTCTTGAGCTCCTGGGCTCAAGTGGTCCTCCCACCTCAGCCTCCCAAAGTGCTGGGATTACAACCATGAGCCACCACACCTGGCCTAAGTAATAAAATTTTGTTAAAGTCATTCCTTCTTTGATTATTTCACATTTTTTTTAGTGACTCAATAACTTTTTTTTAAATTGTACTGATTTTCTTATAAGTGAATAAATTAAGGATTGCTGATGTTTCATAGTTCTGAACTTTAGAAAATTGATATATAAGGAGTGAGGAGTGATGCTTAAGACCAGGAGCTCTGAAGTTAGACTACCTGGGTACAAATCCAGGCTCTGCCACTTCAAAGTCTTTCTGTTCCTTAGTTTCCTCATTTGAAAATAGGGTTGATAATGTATACCTTACAGTGTCATTGTGATGATTAAGTGCACAGAGAGTACCTAGAATGCTGTTTAGAATATACTTAGTATTCAGTACATTTTGTCATTATTTTTGTGATGTGTTGTGCTTAAAAGTTCATTTTAGTTTTTTCCTTCATAGTCTACCTATAAATCTATGTACTTGGTACACTGTTCACTCTCACCTAATAAGAGGATGAAATACAGGGAAGCTCTTTTAATTAACCTTTACAGTTGAAGTCTGTTTTACTTCTTTGAGAACCTTACTTTGGGGTTCTCAGACACAATGTCTCCTATGTAATATCCATACTTTGAACAGTTTATGTTGTTTTCTAATAAATTAAAACTAAAGAATAATGAGAAATCTTGTCTTTTATTTACAAAGGAAGCACTAAGTAACATGGATGATTATGACAAAACCTGCCTGGAGTCTGCATTAGTTGGTGTTTGCAATATCGTTCAGCAAGAATGGGGTGGCGCAATTCCTTGCCAGGTAATGATCAATTCTTTCTCATTGCCCTGACTTAACAGTCTGAGATAGCATGCCACAATTTCCACAAACTACATTTTGTACCATGGGTATCTTTTTAATGGAAGTTACTAAATCAACTCTAATGTGCTCAGAAAGCGGCAAAATTATGCCTTAAGGAAAGCATCCTCCTAGTAGATTGATTTATTGCATACTAGTGCTGTTTGTATAAAACACAAAGGGCTCACATTGGAATTTTAAAACTACACTTCCTGGAAGGGGTGATTATAATTTTGAGTGATAGAATTGTAAACATTTGTGTAGTATAGTCTGTCTATTTATTGTAGAGATGAGGTCTCGCCAAGTTGCCCAGGAGGGTCACAAACCCACGGGCTCAGGCAATTCACTCACCTCGGCCTCCCAAAGCGCGGGATTACAGGCTGAGCCACTGAACCTGGCCTATCTAGCAAACTTTTAATGATCTCAGCTATCTGTCTAAAAAGTGAGAGGTATGAATGGCATAAAATTTGTCACTCTTAGAGTCCACAGTAGATACACAGCAGCCTCAAATCAGAGCAAAGTAGTAGCAGAAAAAGAGAAATGGAAAGTATGCTCTATAGGTACTTTGAGAAGTGGTAGCATATTTTGAGGGAGAAATCAGAAACATTGCTAAAAGGAAAATCATAATAGTCTACATCAGGAGTCAGCAGACTCTGCATTTCAGGCTTTGCAGGTATCTGTGCTCATCTGTGCTGTGAAGCATGAAAGCAGCCACAGATTATAAGGGAATAGATGGCTGTGACTGTGCTTAAATGCAACTTTACAGGGAACTAGATTTGGCCTTTGGACTGGATTTGGCCTGTGGGCCATGGTTGGCTGGCCCCTGGTGTATGGTCTTTTATTATACTGTAGCCAAACACAGAATTCCCAGTAGCGTCAGTGGCCTTACTAGTATTTATTTTTTTCATTAAAAATAAGATTTGTAGCCGGGCTCAGTGGCTCAGCCTGTAATCCCGCGCTTTGGGAGGCTGATGTGAGTGGATTGCCTGAACCCGCAGGTTCGAGACCCGCCTGGGCAACTTGGTGAGACCTCATCTCTGCAATAAATTAAAAATTAGCCGGGCGTGGTAGTGCATGCCTGTAGTTCCAGCTACTTGAAAGGCTGAGGCGGAAGGATCACCGGAGCCCAGCGGGTCGAGGCTGCAGTGGCCAGGAGCGGCTACTGCACTCCAGTCTGGGCGACAGAGTGAGACTCCAACTCAAAAAAAATAAATAAATAAGATTTCTGATTGTCTGGAGGTGAGGGAAAGATATGAATTGACCCAAAAGAAGCAGGCAGGAACGTGGGAAGTGATGGAACTGTTCTTTCTGTTTCTTATCTTGATTGTATGGGTGTTTTTATTTCTTTGAATTGGAGTCTCACTCTGTCACCCAGACTGGAGTGCGGTGACACGCTTCCGGCCACCGCAGCCTTGACCCGCTGGGCTCTGGCGATCCTTCCGCCTTAGCCTTCCAAGTAGCCGGAACTACAAATGTGTGCTACCACGCCCTGCTAATTTTTTTTTTATTTGTTGTAGAGATGAGGTCTCGCCAAATTGCCCAGGCAGGTCTCGAACCCGCGGGCTCAGGCAGTCCACTTACCTTAGCCTCCCAAAGTGCTGGGATTACAGGCTGATCCACTGAGCCCGGCTTTTTTTTTTTTTTTTTTTTGAGTTTGAGTCTCACTCTGTCGCCCAGGCTGGAGTGCAGTGGCATGCTCCTAGCCACCACAACCGCAGCCTTGACCTGCTGTGTTCAGGCGATCCTTCTGCCTCAGCCTTCCAAGTAACTGAAACTACAGGCACGCGCCACCATGCCCGGCTAATTTTTGGTTTATTGTAGAGATGAGGTCTCACCGTGTTCCAGGCTGGTCTTGAACCCATGGGCTCAAGCAGTCCTCTCACCTTGGCCTCCCAAAGTGCTGGAATTACAGGCTTGAGCCACTGTACCTGGCCATTTGTGTGGGTGTTTTTACATTACTGGAATGCAGCTGTCACAAGTCATAAAACTGTATACTAAAAAGGGCCGATTTTACTGCATGTAAATTATAGCTCAATAAACCCACCTTTTAAAAAAAGCAGAAACATTTTTTATTACTGTGGAAAAGACACTTTTTTATAGAATACAGTGGTTACTTCGCTAAAGAAACCAGTGCATGCCTTTTGATCAGTTTCTTTTCAGAAATAATAAAGTTTGGCACCTCACTTCATAACTGCATTATTTGTTTTGGTAAATCTATACATATGGAATATCTTTTTTCCTAACAATATACTGAATAGTGGAGTTTGTTACTAGTATCTTCTGGTCTGGAAGCGTTTCCTAAATATACTGAATAATGGAGCTTTGTTACCAGTATCTTCTGCTCTGGAAGCTGGAAGGTAGCATACTTCTATTTGCTATTTCTTCTTTGGTTTTTAGAAGAGAAACTCAGAAAAATCTTAAGAGCCAGATCTTGTGTATCATGATTTCTGCCTTTTGATGTTTTTCTTTCTTTGAGAAAACAAAGAATCTGAACTTGAGGTATACTGTACCCCAGAGGCAAGGGGCTGGGTCGGAATACACTTACGCTTGCTTGATGAGTTTTGAGGTGAATCAGGTCCAAACCACTGTGTTAGAGACAGTGGTTATTGGTGTTTTTTGTTTGTTTTTTAATTTTTCCGAATTTTATTAAGACTACAAACCCAAGCTGGGCTCGGTGGCTCAACCTGTAATCCCAGCACTTTGGGAGGCTAAGGTGAATGGATTGCCTGAGACCCGCCTGGGCAACTTGGCAAGACCTCATCTCTACAATAAATAAAAAATTAGCTGGGTGTGGTAGCGCACACCTATAGTTCCAGCTACTTGGAAGGCTGAGGCAGAAGGATCGCCGGAGCCCGGCAGTTTGAGGCTGCGGTGGCCGGGAGTGGCCACTGCATTACAGTCTGGGTGACAGAGTGAGACTCCCAACTCAAAAAAAAAAAAAAAAAAGACTACAAACCTGCAGATTGAAGAAGTTCAATGAACCCCAAACAGAATAAAAATAAAGCTCAAAACATACAAAACCAATCACTGTATCATTTAGGAGTAGACTGGTGTTGTTTTTATAATCAGTAACTATTACACAAATTTGTGGAATTTGGAGGTTTTGTTTATTTGTTTGTTTGTTTTGAGTTGGAATTTCACTCTGTGTCCTAAGCTGGAGTGCAGTGGCACACTCACAGCCATTGCAGCCTCAACCTGCTGAGCTCAAGTGATCCTTCTTCCTCAGCCTACCAAGTAACTGGAACTACAGGCACATGCCACCTTGCCCAGCTAATTTTTTGGTTTATTGTAGAGATGAGGTCTTGCCAAGTTGCCCAGGCTGGTCTTGAACCCATGGGCTCGGACAGTCCTCTCACCTTAGTCTCCCAAAGTACTGGGATTATAGGTGTGAGCTAACATACCCGTCCAAAATGTGGAATTTTTTTAACCAAAGTTTGAGACAGCTCGACTGTGTCTTCATTATTCAGTTGTCTGCCTTATTTTGATATTACATGAAGCATTTCATTAACACATAGCACCTGGAAAAGCTAGCAGAAGCAAATCATTTTATAGCTCTAGTTGATAGTTAGAAAAGGAAATTGCCTTGTAATCGGTTGACTATCTTGCCAAAAGATGACATCCCTCCAGGGGACCTCTGTTAAGCATTCTTGGGCTTTAGAAGCAAAGTGCTGGGCAATCCCTTTGGGTCCCCTCCTACTATGGAAGATTTTCTGTCCTCTCAATAAATCCTGCTTTCTCATTTTAAAAAAAAAAAAAGCAGCAGCAGCAAAGTGCCAGTCTTGGTATTTCAACTGCTTTCGTGGCCTGTTATTACCAAGTGACTGGACTAGGCAAGGGAGAGCAGAAATAATCCTCCCCTGGGATGCTTGAGAAATCCACCCCCCACAGAATCACTCAAGCAGTGAGAGAAAGGAAAACTATTTTCAACTACTGTCTATTGTTGGTACATTTTACTGGCTTTTCCAAATTGCTTAACAAATGGATTAACGGTACATTTTACACAAGATATTGTACACATCTGGTTAAGTGACCTTTATAAGTACATTTTTAAAGCACTTGTCATTTTAGTTGACCAGGGATAGAGTTTGTCATCTTTGGAAATAAAGTGGCAAAGTTCAGACTTTGTGCTGGTACTTCCTAGGGACACATGTGAAATGGGTCCTCATGCAGTTTTGACATTGGTGTCTTTAGTAGCAACTTCTTATCTAGTAGACGGGGTTCTAGTTTTAATACTGTTAAGTAAGAATTGGTTATAAACATTTTTATAGTTTTTTTTAAGTGTTCAAAAGCATGCTTTTTAAAAAGATTTAGACAAACTATAATAAAATGCAAAAGTTCAAGTTCATGGAGTTTGGACAAATGTATACATCTATGTAACCACTACTATAATCAAGATATCATTACAGTTTTTCACCCTATAGTGTGGAGTGGGGTTCTTCATGCTCCTTTCTGGCAGTGAAAACATAGCTAAATGGGATTGCCTTAAATATGTAATTTAATGTACAAACTTCCTTTCTCTTTTTGCAAACAGGTGGTTCTGGTGACTGATGGCTGTCTTGGCATTGGCAGAGGGTCACTGCGGCATAGCCTAGCTACTCACAATCAGCGAAGTGAGAGCAGTAGGTTTCCACTGCCTTTTCCTTTCCCGTCTAAGTTATATATCATGTGCATGGCGAATTTGGAGGAGGTAATACCTTTTACTAAGTTCTTTTTGGTTTGATTAGGTGTGTTTTAGAGCTCATTTTATTCTTTAGTACATGCTATTACTACCATATTGCATATACATTGAACTTCATTGGTTCTAGCTGAGGCTGGTCACTAACTGTATTTTTTTTTTTTTTTTTAGTTGGAATCTCACTCCGTTGCCGAGGCTGAAGTGCAGTGGCATACTCAGGGCCACCCTAGCATCGACCTGCTGGACTCTGGCAATCCTTCTGCCTTGGCCTTCCAAGTACCCAGAACTACAGGCGCGTGCTACCATGCCCTGCTAGATTTTGATTTATTGTAGAGACAAGGTCTCGCCAAGTTGCCTGGGCTGATCTCGAACCTGCGGACTCAGGCAATCCACTCTCCTCAGCCTCCCAAAGTGCTGGGATTACAGGCTGAGCCACTGAGCCCGGCCAGTAACTGTATTTTAAAAGACCCTTGGTCTTGGCTGGGCTCAGTGGCTCACCCTGAAGTGCAGTGCCACTGCACTTCAGCCTTGGCAACGGAGTGAGACTTCAACTCAAAAAAAAAAAAAAAAAAAAAAAAAAATAGACACTTTGTCTCAAGTGCTCTTTGAAATTCCTGAGTGTTGCCCCATCTGGAAACATAATTGGAGTGTTATCCATTCTAGATGGATACTAAGATCGTGGTATTAGCTGGGCTCGGTGGCTCAGCCTATAATCCCGTGCCTTTGGGAGGCTGAGGTGAGTGGATTGCCTGAGCCCGCGGGTTCGAGACCCACCTGGCCAACTTGGCGAGACCTCGTCTCTACAATAAATCAAAAATTAGCTGGGCGTGGTAGCGCACACTTGTAGTTCCAGCTTCTTGGAAGGCTGAGGTGGAAGGATCGCCAGAGCCCAGCAGGTTGAGGCTGCGGTGGCCGGGAGCGGCCACTGCACTCCAGTCTGGGTGACAGAGTGAGACTCCAACTCAAAAAAAAAAAAAAAAAAAGATCGCGGTATTCTCTTAGTGTTAGTTATTTCTCTCATTTAGAAATTCTTAAGTCCATTCTGCCAGAAATGTTGCCAGAGTTTGCTTTGATTTTGATGGAAGAATAAAGTTATGTACCTGATGTGTGTTTTATTAAGTGATTTAATTTATTTTATTTATTTATAATGTAATTTATTAAATGATTCATTTGGGAAAGCTATTTAACCTTTCTTCACCTCAGTTTTCTCTTTGTAAGATGTTAGAAACACTTTGGAGAGAAGATGCTGCATATATACCAACTGTGGTCACCTCTGGGAATCTTTGAAAACTACTTTCTGAATGAAATAGTTCTGTTGTCATTCTATGTAACATTTCTCTTTGGTAACCTTGAGTCAGAATTGTTAGTTATTTTCTTCTCACATTGGCTATTTAAAAAAAAGGTCTGTTATTTATTGCTTGTGTTATTATAATGTCTTTTACCTTGATGGGTTGATTATAATTTGGCATTTTGTGTCACTTTAAAGGAGACATCTGTTTTGCTTTGTAGCTTCAGAGCACTGATTCCTTGGAATGCCTTGAACGTCTCATAGATTTAAACAACGGTGAAGGGCAGATTTTTACTATTGATGGCCCCCTGTGCTTGAAAAATGTGCAATCTATGTTTGGGTGAGTATATGCTTAGAGCTTTTTTGATTTCTTTACAATCCAATATTACAATTTGATATCCAGCAAGATTATCTATTTTACTATTTCTAATTGTGTCATTTCATTTCCCTATGTTGCACATTTTTCTTGTAAAATCATTGGTGGTAGTGTTTTTAAAGTTCACTTCCTTTTAAATTATGCATGATTAAATCTAAAATGCCTTTGGATAATGACTTCCTGACAGTGACTCAGCAATTTCAAAAATTAACTTGCTTTTGGGCTTTTCAGAGTTGAAATTTCCTCACCAAAAATGCCAGATTTTGTTCTGTTTCACAGATGGTCATGTCTTAGTTTGGGAGCCAACTTGAAGGGAAAACAAACTTCGCATCTTGAAAAATTACTTTTGTATGTGTCATGTTACTCGTCCTATAACAGCTAATTATCATATTCCAGCAAACTAATCGATCTGGCATATACACCTTTCCATGCTGTCCTCAAGTGTGGCCACTTAACTGCTGATGTGCAAGTCTTCCCCAGGCCAGAACCTTTTGTTGTAGATGAAGAAATTGATCCTATCCCTAAAGTCATTAACACAGGTAATAATTTCTTTAAAAAAAAAAAAAAAAAAGACTTCTTAGTTTTTCTGTTATTCTTACTTTCTTCCAATTTGTGACTTTTACTTTCTTCTCTATCTAGGAGTGTTGAAAAGAAACGTATACTCTAATACAGATTGGGTATCCCTTATTCAAAATGCTTGGGACCAGAAGAGTTTCAAATTTCGGGGGTTTTTTTGTTTTTGTTTTTGTTTTGAGTTGGAGTCTTACTCTATTGCCTAAGCTGGAGCGCAGTGGCATGCTCACAGCCACCTCAGCCTTGACCTGTTCTGGGCTCAAGCAATCCTTCCACCTCATCTTTCCAAGCAGTTGGAACCATAGGCATGCACCACCACACCTGGCTACTTTTTTTTTTATTTATTGTAGAGATGAAGTCTTGCCATGTTGCTAACGCTGATCTTGAACCCCTGAGCTCAGGCAATCCTCTCACCTCCACCTCCCAAAGTGCTGGGATTCCAGACGTGAGCCACCGTGCCCGGTTAGATTTTTTTTTTTTTTTTTAATATTTGCATTATACTTAGTGGTTGAGCATTCCTAACCTGAAAATCCAAAATCTGAAGTGCTGTCTTGAAGGTTTCCTTTGAGTATCATGTCAACCCTCAAAAACTTTTAGATTTTGGAGCATTTCAGTTTTCAAATTTTTAAATTATGGGTACTCAGCCTATGCTAGGTGCTATTATCATCAGCCCTTTGTATTTGAGTATACGTTACCTAAGGGGTGGCAGAATGTTAGCCTTTAATGGTGGGGTCATGAGTTAATCTCCAATCCTAGATAACTATAACCACAAATCGCTAGTCATTTTCACTATCATTGAAATCTTTGAGGTGGTTCTTAATAGAGATACTGAGATTGATTAGCATTGTCATTAAGGTCATATAAGAAGGGCTGGCTTCTGTTACTTTACTTTTCAGGCTGGCTTCTTTACTTTTCAGATGACTTTCTGTGTTACTCTGGGAAGTCACTTCGTCTAGTTCTTACTAGGTGGATGGGTGGAATCAACCAAGTAGTCTCTGAGTTCTCAATGTCCTCTACTCTACTAGCCCTGCTGCTCTTGTGACTGAAAGAAAGCAATGAAAGAATGCTTTTGGCTGGGCTCAGTGTCTCAGCCTGTAATCCCAGCACTTTGGGAGACCGAGGTGAGTGGATTGCCTGAGCCCGCGGGTTCAAGACCATCCTGGGCAACTTGGCAAGACCTCATCTCTACAATAAATCAAAACTTAGCTGGGCATGGTAGCACGCGCCTGTAGTTTGGCTACTTGGAAGGCTGAGACAGAAGGATCGCCAGAACCCAGCAGTTTGAGGCTGCAGTGGCCGAGAGATGTGTCACTGCCCTCCAGCCTGGGTGACAGAGTAAGACTCCAACTCAAAAAAAAATAAAAGAAAGAATGCTTTTAACTTATCCACATTGCTGTACCATGCTGAGCTGAGACTGGCCAAGTGGAGTCAAGAATAGCAAGAAGGGGCGGAGGGGAACTTGTCTCTTGTTGGTGAGTGGCCTCCTTGAGTACATTTTAAGCCTCTTGGAGATGGGTGTCATCACCATTTCAGTGGCTGTTGGTAGCCTCTATGCCCAGCTAGTGCCTGACACCTGGTAGCTGTTCAATAGGGAATTGTTCAGTCAGTAAATAATTAGAATTAAATGCACAGCGAATGCTCTTAGTTGTGGACATACAGATGTTAAGATGTCTAGAATAAAGGGCTGTGAACAGGCTTTTAATTTTTTGTGCTTTTTGCTTCTAGCTGTCTGGAAGCAAAATGTCCATCTCTTTAACTTGATGGGGCAGCAGTGTATTAATCTGTGCCAACTGTCCTGTTGCCTTCAAATCAGTTAGATTGCACTTCCCATCATCCTTGGTTGATGAGTAACTTTGAGTAGGTCTTTTTGTTGTTATTGTTGTTGTTGTTTTTTGAGTTGGAGTCTCACTGTCACCCAGACTGGAGTGCAGTGGCTGCTCCCAGCCACCACAGCCTCAACCTGCTGGACTCTGGCGATCCTTCTGCCTCAGCCTTCCGAGTAGCCAGAATTACAGGCGCGCGCTACCATGCCTAGCTAATTTTTGATTTATTGTAGAGATGAGGTCTCACCAAGTTGCCCAGGCGGGTCTCGAACCCGCGGGCTCAGGCAATCCACTCACCTTAGCTTCCCAAAGGCACAGGATTACAGGCTGAGCCACCGAGCCCGGCTCTAATTTTTGATTTATTGTAGAGATGAGGTCTCACCAAGTTGCCCAGGCAGGTCTCAGACCCTCAGACTCAGGCAATCCACTCACCTCAGCCTCCCAAGGCGCGGGATTACAGGCTGAGCCACTGAGCCCAGCGGTCTTTTCTTTCTCGTGTAAACTTTTAGTCTAAGATCTTTCTTCTAGCTTATATTGAAACTGTTTTAACCCTTTGCACTTGGAGACATCTCATGGATCACCTACCAGCAACTTGACCACAC